TAAAAAAAAAAAAAAGGCAACATGGTATCCTGGATGGGATCCTGAAACAGGAAAAGGACATTATGTACAAATTCCCCAAGGAAATCTGAATGAAGTATGGACTTTAGTTAATAATGTATCAAAAGTGGTTCATTAATTGTAACATGTCACACTAATATAAGATGTTAAGAATAAGGGAAACGATGCAGGATATATGGGAGCTCTGCAAACTATTTTCACAATTTTTCTATAAATCTGAAACAAAATTCAGAGTTTATTTTTTAAAACTTGTCTAATTGTGCTCTTCGAATATATTGCATGGCTGGTGTTCTCTTTGTGGGGAGATTTGTTAATAACTTGCCAACTCTGTGGATGTTTTAGGGCCTCTCTCTCTTTTACTTCATGAATCCACAAGTTTGAGTATTTCCCATTTCATTACCTATAACATTGTCTTCCCCTTTAATGTCTGTAAAACCTAGTTATAGATTTTAAAATTTCTACTTCTGTCTATTTGTGTCTTATACCTTTCTGTGTTGAGAATAATTTTTTCCCCAAATGTCTACTTATGTTATTAGTGTTTTTCAGGAGTCAACTTTTGGCTTTGATATTCCTAATGTATCTTTGTATTTTATTAATTTCCACTCTTCATTTGCTTCTGCCTTCTATTTTCTTTGGGTTTATTCCGTAGTTTCTTTTCTAAATTTTTTACTTTGGACACTGTTCTCATGACCTTTTCTTATTATAAAACACACACTAGTCACCCGCTGCCCGGGCACCTCTTGCCCAGTCCTCGGGCACATCAGAGGGTATTGTTGTTCCCAACCACCCGTGGCTGAGCGCGGCTCACACGTTTCCGGGGACCAGTCCAGGGCGTTAGACTGGATTCCTGACATGCTGTCAGCACAGGGGACGCTTGCTGCCTCCCGGAAGGGATTAGACTCGGCCCGGGGCCTGGGCCCTGCGGTTGGGAGAACAGGCCACTGTGTCCGTGGGAGCCTCGCGTCCCGGGCCTGTGGAGAGGGGAGGGCCACCTGCCAGCCAGGGGGGGCGGGAGGGTGTCCGGAGCCGCCAGATTTCTCCTGGCTTCTCGCCACAGAGAAACCCACGTGTAGCTGGTGTGCCGCTCCTGCCATTGCTAAATGGTCCCAGAGTGAACTTGGCCGTGGCCCAAAAGCTTCCGTGCGGCTTGTGATGGGCCAAGGGGAAGCGGTGCGGGCCATTCTGAAGCCCTGTGCCTAGGGATTGCCCAGCTCTGGGCAGGGTGAACCTGAGAGTCCCTCCTTGACCAGGTGCCCAGGCCCAGGGGGAAGCGGGTGGCCGAGGAGCGGGGCCTCCAGGGTCCCATCCACCCTGGCGCCCTCGGAGTCAGCCTGTGCCCACACAGGAGTCTACCCCGCACCCCTCACCCAGCCCCAGTGCTGCCAGCTGTGCGAGGCGGTGCCTGCTGAGCGGACCCTGTCCCAAAAGCCCTGCTGACTCTGAGGCGGTGGCACAGCTTTCCCCTCTCACCCCGCCCGCCCGCAGGGCCCCTGCCTTCCTGAGGCAGAAGCAAGAAGCACCCTCGGCCGGTCCCCTGCCCTCCAGTCCAACCAGCCCAGCACTGAGTCCGCCCCGGTGGCGGCCATGACTGTCCTGGGACCCCTGCTGTTTCCCAAAGGGGTCCCCGTACATGGAGGGCAAGGAGAGGGCAAGGAAAGAGGCCACTCCAGGTGGGCAGGTGCAGTTAGTCGGCAAGGGAACTCACCGGGCTGGTCTTGGGCACGGAAGACAAGTAGCTCCACAGTCGCCGCCAGAATCTTATTTATAGAGAGGCCTTCACGGGGCTCAGGCACATACACATCAGAGGGTCAGTAACACAGGGCACTCAGGGCTGCACTGACGGGGAGAGGAGTGGGCAGGGATCACAGCATGTGAGGGGTGGGCAGGGATCACAGGGGGTGAGGGGTGGGCAGAGGGCACAGGGGGTGAGGGGTGGGCAGAGATTTGCAGGCACCTGGCCTCGGTCTGCTCATGCTGCAGACCCTGTCCTACCCCTTCACAATTCATACCAGGGAGCATGGGCCATCTACTCCCTGGCTTTAAGAGTGTACTCAGCCCCAACTGGTTTGGCTCAGTGGATAGAGCATGGGCCTGTGGACTCAAGGATCCCAGGTTCGATTCTAGTCAAGGGCATGTATTTGGTTGCGAGCACATTCCCAGTAGCGGGTGTGCAGGAAGCAGCTGATCGATGTTTAAAGTCTACCCAATGACTCCTTCGTGATCTAGGGTACTGCCCCTCCCAAGTTATCTTTGGGGCTCCACCATCAGTCTCCCCCACATCCAACAGTCACCAAAGGCTCGAAGATTCCTTTTAAGGTCAAAGAGAGTGGCTGGGTGGAGTCCTGGCCCGCTGGCAGGGAGGAGAGGTGGGGGGTGGGGGGCGGCACGGTGCCTGGAGGGCACGCGGGTTTGGTGGCCACATCGTGGAAGCTTTGCTCATCTCTACTTCCTGCCCTTTCGTCACCCACACAGGCAGCCCGGCCAGGGCCTGAGGGGCTTCTCGGTCAGGATAGCCAAGGCTGCAGCCCACCAGCTCAGAACCCGCCCAAAGCCTCTTCTCTTGGGACTGCTGCCCGGAGCCCGGCTGGGGGTGCTGGGGTAAAAAATCAATAAAATATATTATTAAAAAAAGGCTATCCAGTGACTGCTTGGTGATCCAGGGCACTGCCCCTCCCTAGTTAAAATTCTTTGGGGCTCCACCGTCAGTCTCCCCCATATCCAAGTCACCAAAGGCTCAAAGAACCCTTTTAAGGTCAAAGAGAGTGGCTGGGTGGAGCCCTGGCCCGCTGGCAGGGAGGAGAGGTGGGGGGTGGGGGGCGGCACGGTGCCTGGAGGGCACGCGGGTTTGGTGGCCACATCGTGGAAGCTTTGCTCATCTCTACTTCCTGCCCTTTCGTCACCCACACAGGCAGCCCGGCCAGGGCCTGAGGGGCTTCTCGGTCAGGATAGCCAAGGCTGCAGCCCACCCATCAGCTCAGAAGCCGCCCAAAGCCCATTCTCTTGGGACTGCTGCCCGGAGCCCGGCTGGGGGTGCTGGGTCCAGAGCGGCAGGTGGTGGGTAGAGCCACGGGTCCCTGTCAGTGTCCTGAGGCCCGGACACCCCAGATCCCCCTCAGGTCAGACTGCAGGCAGCCTCTGTCCTCACAGTGGCATCAGGAGCCATAGCCCAGGGGCTGAGCCCGTCACCTCTCCCAGGGACAGCCAGCGCCCCAGGGAGGAGCCTGCTCGCCAGGACGGAGTGGGATCAGCCATGGCAGGAACACTTCTGGGGACCCAGGCCTGGGCGGCTGGACTGCACAGACCAAGGCTGTGGCCAGAGATGGTGAGTGGTCTCAGCGACCCTCAAGGGCGAGCCAAGTCCTGCACTCCCTGGGAGCCGAAGCCCAGGTGTCAGAGTAGTAGGTGGGGAGCAGCTTCAGGCCCAGCCCAGCCAGCAGTGCGCACCCCTCACTGTCCCGGCTCCAGGATGCAGCTGAGCCGCTCCATGTGCGGCTGGAGCGCCCAGCCTGGGGTCTCGGGGCCCACAGGGGGGCCACTCCTGCACATGGGGCACGGAAGGGTGAGGGGCAACTCAAGGTGGGGGCCCTTCCAGATGAGCGTCTGAGGAAGGGGTCTCCCCTGTGCCAGGGCTGGCGGGGGGAGGCCTCTGAGAGCTCAGAACACTATGTCCTTCCCTGTCAGGAATGTTCACTTCCAGCTGCCCCACCCTTCCCTGCACCTTCTGAGAACAAGGAAACAGGGCCTCCTCTGCATTGAGAACCAGGAAACAGGGCCTCCTCTGCATTCGCTGTGCGAGGATCTCACTGCACTTCCAGCTGCCCACCCTCCACACACACCCCCCCGCCACCCCGCCTTGGCCCAAGCAGGGACTCCTGGAGGTCAGAGGTGACAGATCGGGGCCACTGAACACAAACAGAGTGGAGGGAAGGGCAGGAGAGTGTGCCAGGGGCCCCTGTCCCTGCAGAGGTGTGGCGCTCTGGGGAAAGTCCCCCGGTTCCCCAGCTGCCCCACCCTTCCCTGCACCTTCTGAGAACCAGGAAACAGGGCCTCCTCTGCATTCGCTGTGCGAGGATCTCACTGCACTTCCAGCTGCCCACCCTCCACACACACCCCCCCGCCACCCCGCCTTGGCCCAAGCAGGGACTCCTGGAGGTCAGAGGTGACAGATCGGGGCCACTGAACACAAACAGAGTGGGGGGAAGGGCAGGAGAGGTGTGGCACTCTGGGGAAAGTCCCCCGGTTCCCCCCTGGCCTTCCTGCCTCTCCACCATGCACAATCCTGACCGTGGAGAAAGGGCCAGAAATCTCACCGAATGTTCCGTAAGGTAGAGGAGTTGCTGGCAGTTACCTCACCCTTCCTGAATTTGGCAAAGGACATACCACTCCGCCCCGGGGGGGAGCGGGAGAGCGGGGACCATAAATAGGGCCCCCAGGCAGCCTCCTCACTCGCCTCTTCCTCCTTCACCACCTGCCCGGCTCAGTAGCTGCCCAGTTGCCTCAGCCCGCAACCATGCCCCCGCGGTCTCCTGTGGCTGGGCCTCACCCTCCTGGGGGCCCTGCAGACCCAGGCCCGGGACTCCATCCCAAACCTGATCCCAGCCCCACCTCTGTCCAGGGTCCCGCTGCAGCCAAACTTCCAAGATGACCAGGTAAGGAACCTGGGGGGCAGCTGTGGGGAGGCCCCCCGGAACAGTGGGAGCAGAAGGGCCGAGTCTTAGAGAACATTTAGGACGGGAAGGGCCCAGGTTTCAGCTCAGCCTGCCCTTATGCCTCCTGATGGAAACCATGTTCCCACCCCCATCTCCACCCTCACCCCAGCCTGGCTGACCTGCCTAGGTCCACCTTCTCTCCCGTAATCCCCACAGTCCCTGCCAGGTGGGGACATCTTCAGTCCCACTGCCCACGGGTCACACCATCCCTGCCAGACTCCGGGCTCCCTCTGGCCCACAGCCTCCATCTCCTGCTGGCTTTCTCAGTGCGGGCCCAGTGCAGGCCCAGTGCAAGCACAGTGCAGGCCCAGAGCAGGCCCAGTGCAAACCCAGTGCGGGCCCAGTGTAGGCCCAGTGCAGGCCCAGTGCAAACCCAGTGCGGGCCCAGTGCAGGCCCAGTGCAGGCCCTCAGGCCCAGAGCAGCCTAGTGCAAGCGCAGTACAGGCCCAGTGGAGGCCCAGTGCAGGCCCAGTGCGAGCCCAGTGCTAGCCCAGAGCAGCCTAGTGCGGGCCCAGTGCAAGCGCAGTGCGGGCCCAGTGGAGGCCCAGTGCAGGCCCAGTGCGAGCCCAGTGCAGGTCCAGTGCGGGCGCAGTGCGGGCCCAGTGCAGGCGCAGTGCAGGCCCGAGTCCCCATCAGGAGTCCTGCGGCCCTGGTGGAGGCGCTCCTGGTTCTGAGCCAGCCGCCCAGAGATGGGTGCAGAGATCTGTTGGGGCCCCTGGGCCCAGTGCAAGCACAGTGCAGGCCCAGAGCAGCCTAGTGCAAGCGCAGTACAGGCCCAGTGGAGGCCCAGTGCAGGCCCAGTGCGAGCCCAGTGCAGGTCCAGTGCGGGCGCAGTGTGGGCCCAGTGCAGGCCCAGTGCAGGCCCAGTGCAAACCCAGTGCGGGCCCAGTGCAGGCCCAGTGCGGGCCCAGTGCAGGCCCAGTGCGGGCCCAGTGCAGGCCCAGTGCGGGCCCAGTGCAGGCCCAGTGCAGGCCCGAGTCCCCATCAGGAGTCCTGCGGCCCTGGTGGAGGCGCTCCTGGTTCTGAGCCAGCCGCCCAGAGATGGGTGCAGAGATCTGTTGGGGCCCCTGCGGCCCACTCGGCCTGTCACCCGCCCCCTGCAGTTCCAGGGGAAGTGGTACGTCGTGGGCCTGGCAGGGAATATCATTTCAAAGGAAGACCAAGGGTTTAAGATGTACACCACCAACTATGACCTGAAAGAAGACCGCAGCTACAATGTCACCTCCACCCTGCTCAGGTGAGAGCCCCACCTCCCGGGAGCATGGGAACCTGGGGGCTGCGTGGAGGAGGGGCTCTGAGAGACAGACTGATGTCCCGGCCGAGCGGACAGGCAGTCACTCATCCTCTCCTCAGCACTGGACTCAGAGACCTGTGTCCTCCTTCCTTCTTCCCTTCATTACGTCAGCATTTGCTGGTCCCTTCTGTGCACACAGACAGCAGGAGGGACACACAGACAGCAGGGGGGACACACAGACAGGAAGAGGGACACACAGACAGCAGAAGGGACACACAGACAGCAGGAGGGACACACAGACAGCAGGAGGGATGCACACGGACAGTCCTCAGGAAACAAGGCAGAGAGCAGGGGAGTCCGGAGTGGGAGGAGGGTCCCTGGGCCCAGCCTGGAACCCCGCCAGGACCTCACTGGGGGGTTCCTGGGAGGTGGCCTCTTGACTGGGCTTTGAGGGAACCGATCTGCCTTGGAAGGAGGGGCAGGGGGTTCATGGCAGCGGCTGGTGGACTCCGAGTAAGAGACAGCCGCTCCTTCGGGCAGCAGCGAGCCATGAACAGCCTGGCCGGGGTGGGCACCACACTGCTGGGGCCTCAGGCACCGGCACCCAAGGGATCTGGTGAGAAGACAGGGCCCCTCTGGTTGCAGGGGGAAGAGGAATGGTGGGGTGCCAGGCTCACCAGCTCCTGTGGGTTTCTGGCTCTGGTACCTGGAGGCTGGGGGCTGGAGCATTTGGGCACAAGGGGCATAAGAAGGACAGGTTTGGGGAGATCGGCTCGCGGGTGCCAGGGACATGGCGAGATGAATCGCCCAGGAGGGGTTACAGTGGGAAACAGCAAGACAAGAGGAGGGGACAAAGGCCCAGGTGGGGAGGACACAGGAAGGCCGCCGAGGGGAGACAGCCCTGCAGACGGAAGGACAGTGGGTGCTGGAGGCAGGGCCCGGGCAGGGCAGCGGGGAGAGCACAGAGGGACAGACCGGGCCTCCTGCTGCAGCGGGGATGGGCTGGGCCGGACCCAGGGCTGTGGAATCCCAGCCCCTCCAGCGGCAACCCTGGCTCCCACCTCATCCAGCCCAGGGAGGCCAAGCCTGCGTCTCCCCTCACCCACACCTCTCCCACTCCCACAGGAACCAGCGCTGCGACTACTTTGTCAGAACTTTTGTCCAAACTTCCCAGCCCGGCCAGTTCAGCCTGGGCAACATAGAGGGTGAGTCCTGAGTGATGCGGGCCCTGGGGTTGGGGTCCCAGGCGTGGGGTCCTCCCAGAGGGGGAACAGGCCTCCCTGCACCTCCGCACAGAGGCCGTCCTGTGAGGGTGGGGGAGGAGGGAGCTGCTCTGTCTAACCAGCCAGGGCTGTCCACCCCGCAGCTTACCCTCCACTGCAGAGCTACACCGTGCGAGTGGCGGCCACCGACTACAACCAGTTCGCCATGGTGTTCTTCGAGTATGTTTCCCAAAACCAGAAGTCCTTCAAGATCACCCTCTACGGTGGGTCTTCAACCACCCTGGGGGACCCCGCTCCTGTCCCATCCGAGGGAGGGAAGGGCCCATCCCCACCATCCCCCGAGGCCCCCTCCAACGTTATCTCTGCCCCAAGTCCCCGGGAGGCCAGGGAACGAGGGCTTTCCGCAGACCCCCACGAGGAAGGGGTCTGAGGCTCATTCATCCATTCAACAATATTCATGGAGTGTCTCCCGGCTACTCGCCGGCCATCTTGGCCACAGGACGGACCAAGGAGCTGCCCCCTGAGCTGAAGGAGAACTTCATCCGCTTTGTCAAATCCCTGGGCCTCACCGATGACAACATCGTCTTCCCTGTCCCAATCGGTAATGCCAGCAGGGGAGAGGAGAGGGGGGTCTGGGACTGATGACGTCCCACCAGGGAAACGGGGAAGGAGGCCCGCTCCCCTCTAGTCCCTGCAGCCCCTGGGAGCCACTTTGGGTTCAGAAAGACCTGCCCCAGCCCAGGGTCTGCGGGGCCCCCGGGGGTCTGGGTCCCAAGGACTCTCCCCTGAGAGGTGACTTGGGCCAACCCAGATGAGCTGTTCAGGCCGGGCCAAGCTTCCCAGTCTCATTGCCTGGGCCCCCTTCCCCTATAGCCCAGGTCCTGCTGTTCTGGGCCACCTCCCCTCCCCCCTCCCCCGGGGCTTGCTCACCACTGAGTTGGGAGGTCAGCCTGGCCAGGGCAGGGGCTGTACCCAGGCCACTCACAGAGCCACCGGCCTCCCCAAGGCTGAGGGGCTGCCAGGGCTCATCAGGTCAGCGGGCAGGAGACTGCGGTGCCCAGCAGGCAGCTGGGCCTCGTTTGAGTCCTTGAGAACAAGTGATGCCCAGGTGTTCTCAGGCCTTTCTCTAGATCCCCTCCCCCATCATCTGCCCCTCTGCTGCCCCAGCCCTGAAGGGAACCCCTAGATCTGCTGCTCCTGGGCCAGGCTGGGGCCTGGGGCAGCCGCGGGGCAGGGCAGGGGTCCTGGTGGTCAGGGGTCACACACACATCCCTGCCTATTGTGACGAACTTTCTCCCCCACAGACAAGTGCATCGATGACCAGTGAGCACGTGGTGAGTGTGGATGGGAGGGGGCTGATGGGAGCCAGAGGGCCGCGGCCTGCTGCTCCCCTACCCGGCATTGTCGCCATCGTGACTCCCCTGTGTGCCTCTCAGGTGCCTCCTCTTCCTCCTTCCCGTTGCCTTCATCTCCGCCTCCACCCCAGGTGCCACCCCGCTGCCCCCAC